TGGAGACTTAGGGGAATAGGCATAATAAGTGGTTTATTTACGGTAAAGTACTATATGTGATATGATGGGTGTGTGGACCCTCATTTACAATGCGTACTGTGCATTTGCTCTAGGAACAATCTAAATGAAAACCAGCATTAATATGCATCTCCCTCTATGTCTATGCCTGCTTCTAGAGTGTGTTGTTCACACGATAGTATGTTTTTGATTTTTCTGAGTGAACCTGTCTTTAACTCACTTCAGAAGAAGTCACTGAAGGGCTTGAAATGAAATAATATCTATGTTTCAGACATTATGGCCAGCCTGTAAATAAATGAGTGCATGAGTGAACAAATATTTTTTCTAAATAAAGTTTTGATTATAGTGAAAGAACTTTTTCACTCAGTCCTTCCATATACTGTGTTTGTTTCTGAATCTCAGGACACTGACAGGTTTTGAGGTCTGAAACTCATTTGGCAAAATAATGAATTTCAGGACAGTTTCTTATACTATAGTGGTGTTTTTTCTTAGTATCAAATATTGCTTTAAATAAGCACATTTCTCGCTGAAGTTTAAAACTTAAAACCTTGGATTTAATTATATTTAGACTTTAAACAAAAAAATAAGAAATCAAAGATGGGGCTGGAAGTAGCCTAGAATTAATTTCCCCAGAGCTGGTCTATACCTACACACTGATTGAATTTCACCCAGGCTTGCCCTCATCTTCTCATCTGGCCTCCCAGCTTTCACACTGTATTCTGAATCATAGGTTTGAGGACTTAAAATAAAACAACACGTCTTGCTACTCTTCGGTCCAATAGCATCGTATTATTCTTTTTCTTAGTCACATTCAGCTCAGCTCAGCGATTATATATTTATTTTGTATTTGTTGCTTTTAAGGTTCTGCTCCTCCAGTATACCACTGGCCACATCCAGCCTGCTATGTGTTTTTGTGGAGCCCATGAGCTAAGAATGGTTTTTATATTTTTAAATGGTTGAAAAAATTCAAAAGAAAAATAATAATTCATGATATATGAAAACTATAGGAAATTCAAATTTCAGTGTTCATAAAGTAAAATAATTTAAAAAAATAAAGTTTTATTGTTACACAGACATGCTCTTTCGTTTACATGTCATCTCTGGCTCTGTTGTGCTAGGCGTTGAGTAGTGAAACAGAGACCATATGCCCGCAGAGCCTGACATATTTATTCATTAGCCCTTTACAGAAACAGTTGGCTGATCCCTAGATTAGACAGTAAGCTTCATGAATACAGCCATGGGTTCATGAGTGCCCCAACATTAAACCAATACCTGGTAACATTCAATAAATGTTAAGTGACTGGATAATAGAATAATTAAATGTATGGATTGTGACTGCCTATCACTCTTGTTTTAGCCCATGTTGCTTACCTTTATCAGGGTTCTGAGGTTCTAGATCATTCTGGTTTACAGCATGGTAGCAGTTCTCAAACTTTTTGGCCTCACTCTTAAAAAAAATCTGAGGACCCCAAAAAGCTTTTGTGTGTGTGAGTTTTATCTATTGATATTTACTGTATTAGAAATTAAAATTTAGAAATTTGAAAAACACTTATTAATTTACTTATAAATAGCAATAAGAAATCCATTTTTGCTAACAAAAATGACATGTGTCTATGAAAAATAACAATTTTCCTCAAAACAATTCAGTGAAAAGAGTGCATTGTTTATAAGTTTTGCAAATATTTTTAATGCCTGGCCTAATAGAAGACACCTAGACCTTGTTAGTTCTTCTGCATTTAATCTGTTGCCGTTTTGTTATTTTTTTTTGAAGTAGGTGAAGGGAACCCAGTCTCACACAGATATGTAGTAGGAAAATGGAGAGGTATTTTTATACTATTTTCAGAGAGTAGTGGGTATTCTGCTTTGATACTATGCCAAAATTCGACAATTTTAATAGTCTTAAGGGTTAATTGCAATGTTGAATCTGAAATCATATCAATGAGTTATTTCCTTCCCCCTTGCATTGAAATCCATTGAGTGGATATTTTACTGTTTGGAATGTAATTATTAAAGAGGTCACAAATGCACTCTGGTTATATTATTCCTTTCCATTCAGGAAATTCCCCAAATCCTTGGGGAAATGAGAGGTGTTTCTGGAGATTGTTCATCCAGGCTGAGCAGGAAGTGAAAGGGGATCTGAAGTTACACACATGCTGCTCCACAGTTAGTCACTGGCCTTTGTTACTGTTTTTATCTAATACACATACCCAAGCACAACCTCAGTATGATGAATTTCTCCACCCCCTGTCTTGTGTAACATCTCTTTTAAAATTAAAGCATCAGGCTTGTTTTAATTTTTTTTTTTAAGTTGATGTGAAACACCCATAAACTGAAATTAGGTTAGCATTGGTGCCAGGTTGGTTGAAAAATGCAAAGGGTATTAACTTCTTGGCTTCAGGGCACAAGATAATTAGATGAGGGGAAAGTTAGAAAAAGATGCTTCTCTTCTCCAACATGACATAACACTCCACGAACAGCTAGGAGCGTTAATGTTAATTCGTAAAAGTTTTATATGGAACCAGCAGCAAAACATTACATGATTTATAAATACAGCCACAGTCGTGAGCTGCAATGCATTCAGATTTGTTTTCTTGATTTTGAGATGTTAATCCTGTGGGATTAAGCTGCCAACTCTTGCTGTCTTCTATTTTAAACAGTACAGCCCGAGAGCCCAAGAATAGTAAATATGTACAGAGGAAAAAAGACTAGAAAAAATGTTGACATCTGAGTGATGGGATTATGGGTCTGTTTGTTTGTGTTTTCCGTGTCCTTTTTAAACATTAATTGCAACAAGCATTTATTGATTACTTAATGTGTGTCCTGTATTGTATTAAGGGGCTTAGCACGCGGAACAAAGCTGATTCAGCCCTTTCTCAGTTAGAGGTTCCAAATAGGTCAGTTTTCATATTTCCCATAATTAGTGTGAAATCTTTCTATCTGAGATAAATATAGTAAATATTATAAACCAAAATGAATTTTTAAAAAATACAGTGGCTCTTTTTTTCTGTGATTTTGGTGGGGAAGAGGGTTGTGGGTTTTGGGTTGTTTTCCCTATAAGTACAGTTTGGAGACTGTTTCCTGATTCCGTTAACCTAAATTGCACCCAGCAAGTCTCTGCAATGAGCCTGACACCCAAAGAATTAAAACCTTAATGTTGGGAAGAGGAAGTAGGAGCCATTTTCTGAGCTATTTTTTCAGTGGTGCTTTTGAGATGTGAAGATGCTTTCTCCAAAGGACCTCAACCATAACTTCGAGCTGTGGTAGGGCCAAGTGTAGCACTCAGATGGCTCCTCCACTGTCTTGCTGCTAGTTAAGGTTCGTGACTCATCTAGGAGTCAGATCAGAGCCAATTGTCTGTAAAGCTTGAAAATTGGCGTGTGTCCATGGCCTGAACAGCTTGAAAAGTGCACATCTTCTATTCGGGACTCGTACAGGAACATCTGGAAATAAACTTGAAACTTGATGATGAAAGAAAACTCTTTTCCGAAAGGATTCTTATTTCTCTGGTGTGAATATTTCTTGACTACTAAAAGATAATGGAATTATTCCGGAATTGGGGTTTATGTTTGATCCCTGATAGGAAAATAGAAAAATGATGGCTGGTATAGTGAACAGTTCTTGGAGTGAAGCCTTTTTAACAACCAGTCTCTTTTCTATTTTTATAAATATATAATTCCCAAGATTTTGCAGAGGCGTTTGACTCTATAGGAAGTCTCAGTATGGCCAAGTGTGACGTAATATACTTGTGAGAGAAAAATCATGACTTATCATAAAAGCAACTCACTGACTAGTCAGACAAAAGGAGCTGGAAGCCACGACCAGCTCTTTTGCAAAGACTTTCTGTGAAACTCTGACTCCTGAGCTGGCTTTCCCTGAAGTTTTTACTCTTACGAAATGATGGAGTTCAGTGGAAAATAAAGATCAAACGGAGGTTGAGAAGATGCAGAGAAGGCAGTGAATTTAATAGACTCTCTAGAATAGCTGCATGAGGTTAGATTTTAAAAATAGGATTCATTTATCTAAAATGAAAGAGGCTGGCAGGGTGGGGTGGATATTATTGAGAATCTTGCTTCTGCATAAGTTGAGCATGGCCAGAAAAATGAGGGTTCGCTCCTCAAAGACTGAAAGAAATATTGAAGACACAAAAGAAAATACTATATCCTACAGGTATTCCTTATGGAATTCATTATCCCCAGTGGGGCTGGCAGAACATACAGAGGAGGTGGCTGAAAGGACCTTCATGATTTCTTGTTAAGTGAGGCAAATCAGATAAGAACTGTGATACTCTACACCGATTGGCGGTGTTGATTACCTGGAACTTGACCCAAGAAAAAGGTCTTTATACCTTCCTTCCCTGTAGTCTTTTCTGCCCTAATAGCCAGACTTTTAAAATTATAAGTCAGATCTTTTCTCAAAAGTGTCCAATGGCTTCCCATCTCATTTATAATAAAATTGGGAATCATCGCAGTGGCCTGTGAGGCCCTACCTGGTCCCCTGCTCCCACTCACCTCCCCTTTCCCCACTCTGCTCCCTCCGCCCAGGCCTTTTTGCTGAACCTTAAACCCACCTGCACGTTCCCACCGAGCTCTTCCCAGGATCTGCGTGGCTTACTCCTCCCTTCCTTCAAGCGTCTGCTCAAGTGACCATCCAAAAGGTCACCCCTGACATTGCTTTCTAAAATATCACTCACCCCCCCTTCCTCTGTCACTCTCTGTCCCCTTGCACCCAGTTTCAGCTTTCTCCTTAGCACATCACCACCTGACTTACATATTTTTCATATATTTTATAGTGACTATCTCCTTCTACTAAAATTGTCATCTTTAAACGTAAACATAAAAATGGAATTTTATCTCTTTTGTCATTGCTGTGGCCATTCAGGCTAGGGCAGTACCTACACAGACTAGAAACTCAATAAATATGTGTTGAAGGAATAAACTCCTGTCTCGTTTCTTTATTTTGTGTCCTGCCATTTTTCCTTGCAGAGAAGTTGTCACCTTCAACCATTTCCTCGAAGCAGCAGCTGAGAAGGAGTTTCAAGGAAAAGCTCGGCTCGAGGACTTTATTGAGAACCTGCTGCAGCGGGTGGAGCTGGCGGAGAAGCAGCTGGAGTACTATCAGAGCCAGCAGGCCGCCGGCCTCGGCCGGGACCCCGGCGGGCACGTGGTAAGTCACGCAGGTCCAGCCGGCGTGGGGGGCCCTTGGGTTCGGTGAGATCGGCTCAAGGACAGAAGCAAAGGGAGCTGGGAAGCTACCTGGAGGGGCTCTCTAGAAATCATTTGAGAGCACTGCCCTGGCCATGCCTGAGTTATGGAAGTGACACAGGTGAACCCAAGACCCCTGGGAATGAGCTTCCTTTAGATGCATGGTCTCCAGGTCTTCACCCTCCAAGTCCACGCCAAGCTGAAGTGGTGAATAACAGAGTTTGAATAGAGTTTGAAGTATCCAAAGGAATCATCTGCCCCCGTCTTGGTGTTCAAGTAGATCAGTAATTGTGTTTTGGAGCCCTTCAAGGGAATCTCATGAAAGCTGTGGCCCTTCTCAGCAAAGCAAGATTTAACTGCATGCTTCTTTTTTCCTTAGTAGGAAGGAAAACACTATTTAGTAGTCTTTGTAGGTTAGTATAGAGTTAAGTTAGTTAAGTGTATTTTCAAAGAGACAGAAAAATTCACAGCAGTCTATTATGGAATAAACTTTTGCACACAATTTTATGTAAAGTTTCAGGGGCTTAAGAAGCCATCAGAGTCCAGATGAGAACCCAGAAAGGTCCAGACTCTCCTCGTGGCCTGATCAAGATTCCCAAGTCTCTTAGAAGGGTACAGGCTTAATTCTGGATACACAGACTCCGGTTCTTCACCCTCCGGCTCCATGCCAAACTGAATTGGTAGAAATAGTGTTATATTTGTAGAAAAACAGACCCTTCAAAGAGACAGTTTATTTTCCTGGGCTTTTAGTTCTTCTTATAAAATGAAGCAGTTAGACTGGATGCTTTGTAAGATCTTTTGGCCTCTTAAGTTCTTTGCTTATCACCTTTGGTCGTTAGGAATTCTAAAACTGAAATGTAGCATTAATATTTTCAGTCTGCAAGCTTTTAAGTGACCTGGAGCTAAGAAATATGTGCTAAGCCAGGAGGATGTTAGAGAGAGAACAGTGGAAGGCAAGGAGGAAGAAAGGAAGCCCATTAGTTCTCTCTCCTATTTACGTTTCTGTGCTCACTTCCTCTGCTCAGTTTACTTTTCCAGCTTGAAAGATGAACACCTTTTGTAAGACATAGCCAGTGATTTCTCGTCATGATGTACAATGTGATCGACTTGGACAGCATCTCTGCTCTCCAGTCAGATGTGTTTATGTAAAATTACATGTAATGTGCATGTACATACAACATGTATACATGTACACACATATTCATGTATCTGTATGTACACAGGCACACATACATATAAACAAACATGATAGGAAATTAATAAATATTTATATTCCTGCCCTCTGTGTCCCAAACATGAGTGACATCATCTGCTATCATCAGACTTGATTTACCTAGGGAAGAATTAATTAATTCAAGTAAAGTGCACTTAAGATTATAGCCGGGAATTTGGACGTGGGAGCTGTTTGTGAGTAAATCATGATCGGGTTGTGGGGAGTGAACTCTGACTAGTGGAGGGAGCATACAGCTCTGAGAAGACCAAGAATGAGGTGTTTGATATCTGAAGGGATTAGCACGTGTAGTTTCCCCTGTTCTCATGTAGAATCCTCGTTACTCTATGTTAGACCATAATGTACCACATTAAGAGACAGTCTGCAGACCCTGAAACCATGTCTCCTTTTCACTTAGTCTACTTCATTGTAATAATATATACTCACCCATACATTAGGAGCCATGTCTTTGATGTAATGAAAGTGCTGAGTCTGGCCTCCCAGGGTATCTGTGACTCTAGATCAGGGGTGGGGAACCTTTTTTCTGCCAAGGGCCATTTGGATATTTATAGCATCATTTTCAGGCCATACAAAATTACCAACTTAAAAATTACCTATGAAAAAAGCTCCTAGATTTATTGAATTTTGAATCTCACCTGAGGTTGTCTTGGCAGGGTCACCCAAATGATTTCTCGGGCCTTATACGGACCTCTCCCATCTCTGCTCTAGATACACAGAGGAACTTGGGTGCTTTTAGCCAGAGAAGCATTGGAGCATATCTTTATTAACCTCTGGCCCAGCTTAGTGAAGGTCCAGAGCACTGAGACACCAAGGCTTCTGGAGCCTCAGTCCCACCTGCCGAAAAGAGCTCTTGGCCCCAGTGTACCCCAGGATGGAACAGAACATTCTGACCTACTCCCCCCACATGTGAGCCCCTTTCTCCAGAACAGTTGGGAATACCATGTCCAGCTTGGCCTGGCTCTCCCCATCTCCACTGAGGCGACGCTACAAAACCAGTGTCAATCTTCTTTATCACTCTTCCCACCCACCCCAGTTCCCTTCCTCTCCTCTTTCCTATTTTTCTTATTACCGCCTCCAGATAGCAGTGAAATTTCTAGTTTGGTGTACAAATCAGTTCTTTCTAAGGTGTCTTCTAGCTTCAAGATTCTTTTATGCTCTAGAAAGTTTTCCTTCCCCCCTCATATTTAGTGCCTTTTCTGAAATAATGTTTCGGCATCTGCATCTTTCCCTGAATCCCCTTGAGCATTTTTGTTCTTTCCCACCTGGCTGGTTTCTAAAAGTGTACCGTGCTTACTCAGATATTTTGTCTTTATGCTCTGAAAAATGCTGTCGAATTAGACACAAAGTGACCCAGTATCCCATCTGCCAAAATTGCGGGCAGAACTGCTCGCACGGAAGGTTATGGAACAGCTTGGATGATCTTATTTTAAGCGTTGCATTTATTTCCTGCAGGTTGCTGAATTAGGACTAGCAGTAATTCATTGAACACTTACTTATTGGGGATGCAGTGCTTACTGAGTGCTGAGGAAACTGCTGGGTGTGGGTAGAAGAGGTCCCTGCTCTTGGTGAGGAGGGGCTCACAATAAGCAAGTACACAAATAACAAAGAGAATTTTATATAGCGATAACTACTATTAAGAGAAAAGATGATGCCTTTGAGATGTCCACTTCAGTGAACTGCTTCCAGGAGAAGCCTCACTGGGGAGGCAACTTTGCACTGTGGCCTGAATAATAAGGAACCAGCTCTGAAAATTTGGAAATAAGATGGTTTAGGCCAAGGAATAGGCATTGCAAGTGCCTTAGGAGGGAACAAGCCTGGGACGTTTGCGTGGTAGGAGATGAAGTCAGAGGATTGGGAAGGATCCAGATCATGCCGGGGCTTATAGGTCACGAACGAAGTTTGGGTCTGTTCCAGAGCAACCTTGGAAGGTTGGAAGCTGGAGGTGATCCGTGTTTTAGCAGAATCAGCCTGGTGCTCTCCGGGGAACTGACTAGAGGAGTACAAGGAGAGATGGGTTCGAAGGCTGCATGGTGTGTGGCAGGAGAGAGGAGGTGGCAGTTTGGATAGAGTGGAAGTAAAGAGAAGTGATGGGTATAGAATGGACAAGACCACCTGGCCTTGCTGGAGGGTTAGATTAGGCGGGTGAGGGAAAGAAAGAGGAATCAAGAGTGAACCCAAGGTTTTGGCCTGAACAGTTGAGTGCGCAGTGCTGCCTGAGGCTCCAGGGCCCCGAAGGAACAGTGGCCTCTTGTGTTCATGGGGAGGAGAGCATATGAAATTCTACTGTGTGTGATCATTGGTCCCACCTTCACCCCAAACCTCATAATCTGTAGGATCAGGATCGCTGGAGAAATTCTGATCCAGCCACGGATTCCACTTAACTTTTTTTATCTACACTTCTTGCTCTTATACTTATGTACAAACACACACCTTTTAGGGAGGCCGTGCAGAGGGTAAACTTGTGTTTGAAGTCCAGCCTTAACATTGGTAAAGCACTGAGGCTTCAAACCAGATACTTAACTTTTCTGCCTTAGTTTCCATATCTGTAAAGTGGGGATTAAAAGGCTTACCTCTTAGGGTTGTTTTTAGGGTTAATTGTGTTTGTTACATGGTGAGTATTTTGCCCAGCGTGTGATGTATAGACATGCACAATTTATGATATCTATATGTGAGGTTGTGGCTCATCTTTACCCATCTTTATTTATGCATTTCCTTTTCTGTAATACACAGTAAATTATTCCCATTTCCTGAGGTCCCAGCAGGGTCCCTTAGTTACATCCATAAGTGCTAAGGTTGTAGTTCTTAAAATATTTTGGAAGTCAGGGACTCCTTTGAACATTTGAAAACACTGTTGGCCTTTTTCCCAGAAAGGGAAGCTGGGAAGCATATACACATATATACACTTTCTCTCTCTCTTTCTTTCTCTCTCATAAAATTCCAGAGGGTATTGTGTATACATATAAGCAATGAGTCATCAAACTGTATACATACATACAGTAAAGTAAAAAATTTTATTTTTTTGTTATTTTTTGAAGAGAGGGCTTTAAAGGGAGAAAGACCCTGTAATTTTTTTAAAAATAATTTACACATACACTAAAGTCTATTAAAGGAGCCCAGCTGAGAAACCCTTATTGGTGGCCATAGGGCAGGAGGGCAAGAAATAGAAATGCTGATGCCTTTGGGGTTCCCAGAAGCTGCCAGCCTGGTGTTCATCTGTGCCATCTCTCCCACCTTCTTTGCATGTTGCATAACCTCCCGACCCTCGTGCAAGGAAGGTGACTTTTTCTGTTCGTATTTACTAATCTCATGCCAAAGCCAGCCAATGTGGACAGGGCCAATGATAATGCTGACTTTCGATTGTCGAAAGGCAGAAGGCAAGACTTCTTGGGGACATGGCCCTCAAAAGTTAAGAAAACTTCTTTTTGATTTGCTCCTGACTAGAGCTCAAGGTGCCGACAGAAGAACCGGGAAATGACCCTCTTATGCTGAGCTTTGTTTCTCAGGTTATTGGAGTTTAGCGGAGACACATGTCTTGGCCACATTGGTCCCCAACACCAAGATGCCCTTTCTCCGCATTTTCTTTGTCACCATCTTCTGCTTGCCTGCCTGCCACTTCTTTTAGTGAAGGAGATCAGGAACAGAAGTTTGGAATACACTGGGTTGGCCTATAAAATGGATGGTGACATCTGGATCACAAAATGATAATTATCAATTTATTCTGAAAATGATATTCCTAGTTCAGCCACAAAAGTGCGTGAAGATGTTTTAATGGGAGCGGAAAATAATTTCAATGATAGATAGCCTCAGGGACAATTGTGGAGTTGGTTGGTCTTCATATGCTCTCATTTTAGAAATGATATATTTTAGGCAATAAACATTTTATGCCAATTTTCCCCTTAGTTGACACACTGTGACCAGCCACAGCTGTAGTAAATTAGCTGCAAATATAGTCTGAACCAATCAAGAAATAATGGTACATCATTCCAATTTTTAAAAACATGTTTCTTCAAATGTTGCTCTGTTGGGGGACTCTCTGACTTGTTGACATTTTTTGGTTCTGCTGATACTAGCTTCTTGGAAATCTCAGAACAGGGAGCCACAGAGGACCCCTGAGTGAGCAGAGGCTGAGTGTGAGACCTACCTGTTCTCTGCTGTAGTGGGTGGTGCTATGGGCAGTGCTACAGATAGTTTCTGGTTCCTTAATGGGAATATAGTTTCTTAAAAATCTAAACAAGATTTTAAAAACCAAATTCAGTCTTCAAGATAAGTAATGTTATTTCTTATTTGTTTTCCTTTAGCTTACAGATATCTCTTCAAACAGGAAACCCAAATGCCTGTATGTATATTTTCTTATATTTGGGCCATTTGATAATGTTTGCATGTTTTCCTGTTGCATTTTATATGACATCAATAATACAGGTGGATTTGAGGGTTTCAGGTAAAACTTTACCTGCTTATGTACCTAACTTACTAAAATATGGGTGTAACTTTTAGCTATGCTAGTTGTCTAGTAATATATGGCAGTGTGTTAGTATTATAGGAGTATTTATATGGTATTATATAGTATGACTTTCTCTGATTGAGGTATAGTATAGTCATAATAGGTCTATAGTACTATTAATGTAGTATGTGTACTATATTACATATACACATTTATACCATGAATCATACGCTTTATAATAGCTGTACTACAGATTTGTCTGAGTCCCCTACTAGTCACTTAAAGACTCATGAGATATGGGTTCTGCCCCATCTTCTCCATAGGCCAATTGTATTTATTATCCTGGGTAGTCATTTAAATTTTCTGTTCCTCAGTTTTTATCACTGCTAAATGGGCCTGGTAATATCTCTTTGAGAATGTAGTATCATGAGATCACTTCATGAACGTCACCAGAATTTTTATAAGAAATATACCAACGTATGTCTTTTGTTTTATGGGCAGCATTATCACTGCTCTGGCATGTGATTGTGCCAGGGGTAGTTTTCATTCTTGCAAAGTTTTAAAGTAATCTTTCTGCTTATCTCCTTCCTAACACCTGCCCATCTGTAGAAGCCGAGGGCACCCGCATTCGGTTTGTAACCACCCCGATCTCAAGGCCCATTTTCATCCGAAGGGAAGGAGCTACCTGAAAAAAGCCAAGGATGACAGAGCCAGCATGCAGCCTACTAAATCCATTCACGAACAGGCTGAGACCCCAAGAGAACTCTGCAGACCGCCGAAGAAAGGGGAGCCTTTGGGGTTTAGTCGGAAAGGCAACATCAGGCCCAAAACGGCCAAAAAAAAGCCAACGGCGCTTGTGAACATCATCTAAAAGGGTGGGTGGCCGGGACCACCAGTGTTGGGCTTTGGGGAATGTTGTTCAAGGGGCCAACAGTAATGTCCTTTTGGACACATCCCATAGTAAGATACAATGGGAAAGCAAAGGGCAGAACACGTTTACTTCTTGTCTGTGCAAGCACATGGATTAACCAGAATTTAACAAACGGGAATCTTGGTGAACCAGAATTTTATTGCAGGCTCCTTATAGAAGCAAGAGGTAAATTACAGAAAGAATTTTTAGCAAAAAGAAAGCAGCCTTTCCCAAAATGTTAGTAAAACAAAGCTCCAGCTTCTAAAATAGCCCAGTCTTTATCTGCATCTGGCGTTTCAGACCCAAGGCCACACAAGATGTCAGGTGCTGGAAAAGATTCATCTGTGTCCACTGCTCTCCAAATTGTGACACAAGGAATGGGAGTATAAATTCTTTTAATGGCAGTGAAATAACAATGTTTTTGTTTGTGTTTTAACCTTCCCCTCAATTAGTTTGAAAGCCTCCAAAATACGAATTCCTGTTTCCCAGAATATTCTGGTTCATCCAGATTTCAGTGTTTGGGTTGCTACAGGGACTCATTTGTTCAACTTCAGTTTTCATTTCGATGGACTGTTTTCCAATTTATTTGTTTTCCCGGATGCACACGTGTTCAGATTTTGGTGTGCCTCTGCTCTCTTCTTTGGCTGAGTACACTGCACCCTAAGACTGTGCTGCCAGCCTCCATCTCAAAAGCTGTTTTTATTGCTGTGGTTGGGGGAGGATATGAAACCCATCATGAGTTCAGGGTCTGAATGGTTGGATGCCCATGGATTGCACGTGTCTCCACCCTGGAGACACCACAGCCCTTTGCAGAGACCTTCCCTGGCAGCGTCCGTGGCCTCTCTGCGAGCTGCAGGCATGGCTTTCTCCTTGCTGGCCTAACTTGTCCACCTCCTGCTGCTTCTGTGCCCTTTCATGACTGAAATATATGTTCTTACCTTTCAACCAGCTATCTGAAGTGTCATTGTCCACTGCTTTCTAAAGTAGTTTCTGAAATAAACAGTACATGTGGGATCCAGAATCTGAGACTGTCCTCCTCTCCGCCCTAAAATGGCCTTTGTTTCCAAAAGACCCATCTGCTAAGGATCTCCTGCTTTAAGATTGTCTTCAAGAATGAATTTTTATGTTTTTTTAAACTTAGTATTATCATCAAATCTCCTGCAGAGTTTATAAGTGCTGACATTGTTCTGGAAATAAGAATAATTATGTCCACAAATACATTACATATATATAACATATAAAATATATGTCAAGTATATTAATTTATTTTTAAATACTAATGGACAAGGTGTGTGTTTGTGGTGGGTGGTTTTAAAACTATGTATGTTCATGTAAATTGAATTATCTTTAAAAATGAAAACTGTAACCTAATTAACATTAGTAGAATTATGGTTGTTATTATAAATAAGCATCAGATTAGCAGTGCATTAAAAATAGGTAATAAATCAATTAGTTAAAATAACAGTAAATGGAAAAATATAACTTATCATTATACAAACATTTTTAACTTGTTATAGTAAAAATGTTGATTTTTGAACCTTCACTTCAACTTTTGGCTCATGGGGTGGGCCATTCATGTGGTGTCTAGGCAACTACTGAGTGGGAAAAAACATTGCTGTGAATATCACTGTCTTGGCTGACATTGTAAAAATTGTAATGTTATAATGATTTATTTGGAGAATTAATCTTCCCCAAGATTATTTATTATTGATGTTTATACCATGTTTGCACTTTAGCCTTTTACATACTAAACAATGGACTTGTTGGTTGCATTGCATGCTAATTGTCCTGTAACATGTGTGTGCAATCACAACTTGTTTTTAAAGGTGGTATAACCAGACTTTTTTTCTACTTTATTCAATGTAAGCTACATTTTCAATTTTCATTTAATATGCTTAGAGGGCATGACAGCTCTTTTTGACAGTGGTACCCAGTGATCTCCAGAAAGCACCGTAATATCGTATCTACGCTATGTACATTACACAAGACAGATGATTTCAAGATTTATTACATTAAAACAATTTTTTTTAAGTTTCAACTACAGTCTGACCCTCACACAAGGAAATGCATTATGTATGTTGTGCTTCCTGAGACACATAAATTTGCTATGGAAACGTGGAAGCTGGCTCACTCCAAGGGATAGCCCACTTACATGCCATGGCCTGAGCCTTGTACCATGTCCCACTTGGTCTTATTTTTAAATATTTTTTTCTTTGTCCACATGGGAAGTCAACCTTAAAGTTGCTCTTTGGAAGAAATCACCAAAGTTTCTGGGAGAACATGTTCAAGGCTAAACTGAAGAATGGATCTAATTTGTTTTGTAAGGAAAATAATCTTAATTGAACTATTCTTTCTTTCTTTCCCCCCCCAAACTAGGTTACAGATTCTTAACTGCAAAATTCAGATTTCTTAGACACTGTTTTCCAGTATTTGCAGGGTTGGTCCGTTGTCTGGAAGTTGGAATATTCTCTTCCAAGAGTTAAAAAGGCAATTTTTAGATTATGAAATATTATAATAATAAAGCTATATTTCTGACTAATGTATTGCTATTTTTCATCCAGTTGAAATGTTTCTGGGAAGCCAAGCGTGCTGGTCCATTAACAGGAACAAAATGGTCTTTATGAGTAAGCTGTGTATCACGCAAAGCTTTCTTGAGAACTTAGCCTGATCGTTTTTGTTTATCATAATGTCCATATCTCAAAGTTCTTTTCACATATGTTCACACTGAGAAATCCTCATTACAAGCTCATTTAGCTCTTTTCTCCCATCTTCCTCCATAACTATGAGTGATTTTCCTATACTGTGTTTTTAAACTTGTCAGTTCTTAGCAAAAATCACAAACAGATTTCACAGTATACATCCCAACCTATATGTGTTATATACCCTAGTGATTCCAAGGCTCAGAGAGTGATCAGGACAGATACAGAGAGAAGTACAGTACGTCACTGGTACTGTTACTCTACCAGTGGCCTTTTAAAAACCACGGAATTAGGAAAAATTAAGAGACTCCATTTTTCCAGGAGCTATTAGAACTATTAGGAAGATGACCTCAGTCTGTTCTTATACTTACTTATATTAAAGCTAATCTTCACCAGGTCTTAATATTCTTGAGAAATAATTGACATTCTTGACCATCTCTGAGCATTAGAAAACATAAATCTTAGTATCTTGATCCTGCTCAGTTGGGATCCCTGAAAAAATGAACTCCAGAAATGGCAGGCATGCAGGATCGCAAACACAAGCCCCAGAGCCATTTCAAATATATATATGATAGGGAACTTTAGAAATGGAATACCTTTGTGTGGAATTAAGGTTGTGAAAGTTTTTTCTTTTTTTGTCCATGTTCTGTATCAGTAAAATGGACATATCTGAAAGGGATCTTCAACCTGTAGCCCTATGATATATTTACTCTGGATTTGCAGCCATTATTCTAAGACAAAACAGTTTTTTCATTACAGTAAACAAGCATAGGCAGGCCCTGCTCTCCTGCCCACACTGCAGTGGGGACGCTGGTAAATTTTATATATGTGGAGGCAGGTGTCTGGGATGGAGATTGAGGGCTTTGGTACCCATGTCCTGAGAGAAGAGGCATGACGGCTGTCCTCAAATATCCGAAGGGCTGCCACATGCAAGAATACTTACTTTGTTCAGCTGCAAAAGACATCACCAACATCAGTGAGTGGAAGTTCTAGAGAAGCGGAGATCAAGTCATTGAACAAAAAATATCTTTAAGTTCAACAAAGAATAGCTCACATGGTTAAAAAGTGAGCTCTGATTCTCTACACTGCTCTTTTCTTTATAGCAAATGAAACCCTTATTTGGCTGGGGAATTAAACTGGATTCTTCAAAGTGCACATAACTGGGATTCTGCCATAGGTACTGATGCTACATTATTGTAAATGTTGGCTGCATAAAATTTAGTGTTGACATGACAAATTGATTTTGGGGATTTCACCAACTTGAACCTTATGGGGTGTCCTATATCGCATGCGCCCACGGTTACCCTCATGGATGCTTTTGAGGTAGGCAGAGGTGAGGAGGTATCATTTTCTTCCCCTAGCAGGTGCGGAAACAGCAAGTGGGGAAATGGGAGATGTACGTCTGGCACTGTTTCCTCGGTCAGGACCATGTGCTTCTCAGGAAGCGTCTCACCTCACTGAATGTGGTTTCAGTGTTTAAAGAGAAGGTGCATTTTCTGTTACAACATGGCTCCTGAGTGCAAGCCAACCATTTCATCTGGTGTTAAGTGGAGTCAATAGCAATTCTGTCCAACGCTGGGGAAGATCTTGGCAACATTGGACTTGGTAAGAGATGGCATGTGGTGTGTGAGGCTCCTGTATCATGCCTTCCTCAGGCATTTTTCAGATAGTACTAATTATACTAAATTCAGATAGTACAAAATTATACTTTTGCCTTTCTTCCAACAATATGAAGGTGGACCTTATAGTGGTGTGAAGAGTTGTACAAGGCCCAGGAGATTCTTCAGGACACACAAAGCAAGGGCGAGAACCAGATTCCTGTCTTCCTGTATCTCAGCCAGTGCTTTTTGCACAACATTGAGCCACCTCCTTGACAAGATTCCCAGAAAACGGCCATAAATGTATGCATTTGTTAATGATACAATGCTTCTCATTGTCCTAAAGTTCAGTTTCATATTTATTAATTATCGCACCTATTTAATGCAAGCCACTATGGGGGATATAAATGTCACCACTTTGTCATCTCTAGACACCCCCAGTTTATCATGGAGCCACCCCAATTTGCCAAGGAACTCCCAAGTTTCAGCTCTAAGTCTGTTAGAGTTTAATGCACACATTTTTGGACACTTCAGATTGATAGAGAGGCACTGCATTGACCACGGGTGGACCTATCAGAGGGAAACCAAGCTGATTATATACCTCAGCTCCTCTTCGTTCAGGACAGGGTGGCCATTCCCTGTGTCCTCAGGAGTGCACCACTTTTTTTGTAACTTGACACTGTAGCTAAAATGTCTTATATAATCCTAAACACACAAGGCTGGTGGAACTGGGAGTCCTATAAAGTGAGGGTCACCCTAGCCTAGACAAAGGCACTCACAGCGGGGTCAGGGCAAACGGGTGGACACATAGTTTCCAGGACACAGAACAAAGCCCAGATCTTGGGTGTGTGCTCTGGCTCTGGCCTGCCTCTCCCACCTCCAGCCCCACGCCAATGACCCCTCCCCTCCAGCCACTGGGCTCCCCTCAGAGCATCATGAATAGCCTGTGCTCTCCCCCAGCAGAGCTGTTCTGCCGGGTTACTCCTCCTGCCTGAAATGCCCTTCTCTTTCTTCTGGCTAATTGCTACTCAGCCTTCAGATTGCAGGTCAGTTGTCACTTCCCCAAGGCAGCCTCATAACTCTTAGAACAGCATCTACCTTTTCATTGTCGCAGTGATCCCAGGTGCCCCTTTAGATCTAATGGTGTGATTCCTTAACTCATATCTGCCTCCCCACCAGTCTGTCATTTCAAGAAGGGGAGCCATATCTGTATCTTTTATCCCCAATATATACCTGGCACAGAGTAGGTCTTGGCTGAGTATTTGTGGAGCATGCAAACATCAGTAGCCTCAGGTACGTTAAACAGGAAAGAACAATGAGGGGTGGATTTCCTTCCAGCTGAGGAGTGTCAAAGAGGGATTGAGGGTTACAGAAGAGAGGGGAGCATTTTATGCAGTCTGAGTACAGCCACGGAGGTAGGGAGCACAGGACCAGTGACACCTGGGAAGTAACAGTATTTTACCTCTCCTATCTTGATGTCCAGCACCTAGCACCAGCCCAGTTGCTATACTGCCATTCAGGACAGGTTATGAAAGATAGGGCTATATCTGGAGCCTGAGAGGGACCTCAATTTGCAAATAAAGTACAAGTACCTTGAGCTATAGCAATAGAAGGCAGGTCATTGGAGCACCTCCCTCATAAGGGCCCTTCCAGCTAGTGCTGGAGCATATGGACTGGCTGGTAACCCCTCTTGTCATTAGATATTTTGAAATTCTCCTTTTAGCCTACATCTGTGGTGGGATGGAAAAGACATGGCATTTCCTTCTTTAAATCCATGGGAAATATTGCTAATTGGCCATGATTATCTTTCCTGAGGAATGTAAATATGGCCTCAGAATCTTTTTCAGTGCAGTCATGACCAGCTTGGTAGACAGAATAATGCCCCTCTCCCCTACCCCTCCCCACCCCACTCCCCGAATGCCTATGTTCTAATTTCCCAAACCTGTGAGTATCTTAGGTTACAAACAAAAGGTAATTAAGGTGGCAAATGGAATTAAGGTTTCTAATCACACAACCTAAAACTACAGAAGTTATCCTGGATTATCTGGGTGGGCCCAGTGTAACCCTGAGTCCGTAAATGCGTAAGAGAGAAGCAGGAGTGGCTGTGTCAGAGTGACACCGTGTGAGACAAGCTCGACCTATCACTGTTGGCTTTGGAGGAGGGGAGCACGAGCCAAGGAATGTGGGCAGCCTCCAGAAGCTGGAAAAGGCAGGACAATGATTGTTCCAGAGCCTCCAGAAAGAAATGCAGCCCTCTTTGATGTTAGCCAAGGAAAACCTATTTGTAATTTTGAAACTACAGAATTGTAAGATAATGAATATGTACTGTGTTTGTCACAGAGTCCATAGAAGACTAATATACCAGCCCATCATTTTTGGCACACAGAGTCCTCAACGATGGTGCAGTGGAAGGAGGAGTGGTGTTGGCTGCCTGCTTTACAATTTATATCTGCGGTAACTGTGGGTCCAGTTTCCTCAGCGGGAAAATAGACAATAATGTGGTGCCTTGGCCATGTAGACAGTACTTGGGAACAACCATGAAATCTTCCTTCACTGCTACCAACTCCCAACCCAAGACTTGAAAATAAAAAAGATTCTCCCCTGTATATTAAAATAAAAAGCAAATTATAATAAACGAGAGCAGAAAATTTTGAAGTTACATTAAACAATCCAAATGGCAAAGAACTAACTATAATCTGTTTGATGATATTCACTTAATAGAATTCTTTTTGAGAATTTTTATGAGTTTATTGAGCCAAAACTGAGGACATGTGCCTGGAAACAAGATCTCCAATGCTCCAGAGAATGACCGTCTTGCATTTTTCTTTTATGCGTATGAAATTAAGGAGGGAAAGTAAGGAAGATTACATGAAGGTAGATGAAAACAAGGCAGGGATTGGATTATAGGACAGCTAATGTTACGTTAAAACAGCTAGATATTAACATACTTGAAGAAAGACGTAGGTTCTGCCACTTGCTAGTTTTGTTATCTTGGGCAATTTATTTTCCCAATTAGTCTCATTGTCTCTCTCTGTAACTGGGATTATGAGATAATCTATGTAAAATTTTTAGTGTGATAACTGGGAGAGTCAGTACCTAATACATTTCTTTCTTTAAGAGAGAGTTGGTTGAATGTGGAAATTCAGAAAAGGAAATGGCAGAAACAAAAAGCAACAGCATCTGTAGGGGATATGTGGGCCAGTAAATAAAATTCCCTTCCCGAGTTTGGAACCAACCAATAA